CAGATGAATGTGTATATATATTGCAACATACGTACCATGTATAATGTATTCTTTAATACAGCACTTAATCTGTGAAGATCACAATTAAAACAAATTTTAGAAAAAAACTGCAATTGTAATCACCAGCGAAACGTCACACTCAATTTTACATGTTGTGAATTGCCCTCCAGCACATCGGTGTGCTGAAGTACTGCAGTAACAAATTGGCACGTTCTGTTCACGTGACAATCTTTACTAATTGATGTGTCGGGTGGAGGTGGATGAACCGCACATTTACATAAATGAATCACTCGCTTTGAGATGCACTTCTGCGGCCGTCTGGAACGTTCTTCCGATATTAGTAAGCCACTGAAGCTATAGCACTTTTAAACCTGGATTGAAAACTAATTTCTTTAGAGCTGCTTATTGTTTAGTTTGTTGTCTTTCACATCACCTCCGATTAGCACTGTTGACTACGTACCGTGTGAAAGAAGATTAATATACAGGTAGTCCCCGACTTACGATGAAGATGCGTTACGACGACCCCATCGTAAGTCGAAATTATCGTAAGTCGAAGATGGCCTAGCCTGAACTCAGGAGTCTTAAAGAATGGTGATAATTTAGCAAAACAGAGCAATTTACAGTACAGTACTGTATAAACTATATCCTGTATGTATGTAATTATTAATTACAATACTGTATTGCACAGTAAAATGTAAAGTAAAAAACAAGGTAAATTCTTAGCCTACCTATACGAACTGCAATTTCATAGAAAGTTTTTTCAGGAAACAATCCTATCTGCATAATCTGCTATAAAAAAAAAACGTTTAACATGCATTGAACGTATGTATCGTATCGTGATAACCCTAAATGAAATCGCTAAAGCTACGTATCAAACATGCATTGAATGTATCGTAACGTATCATATTATACTGTACTCGCCAAGATTCTGTCCGTCGTCTGCATACTTGAACTGATGTTAGGTTGTTGGTGGCAATTTTTCGTATCGCTATCGCCATCGTAAGATCGAAATATCGTAAGTCGGACCGTTGTAAGTCGGGGACTACCTGTACACACATTTAGTAAAAACAAAATCTAACAACATAACTGTATCGGTGAGTCCCAGGACAATTCCAAGGGAGTCTGAACTCTTCACCAGTGAAGCCTCAGTGGCAGACAGAGACAATAGGACATGGGAGTAGATTCTGGAGATAGCATAAGGTCAGGGGTTATAACAAACGGGGTTTGAACGATAACGAAAACATAGAGCAGCAGAGGTGATAACCAGGGAAAGTTTTTTGTGGGTATTGGCAACACCACTGATCGGCACAGCCTCGTTCACCATAACATAGGCACAGCCCAATTTAATAACGCCGAACATGTCTTTCCCTTCCACAAAATATTCATTTCTAGATCATTAAATGGGGGTCACAAGACATCTGGACTACCCTGTAAATCGAGGAAATGTTTCTGATTTATTGGCACAGCTATTCAATCAGTCATTATCAATCAACTGCTTCAAGTTCAAGTTCATTTATTAGGTATAGCCTTGTGAGCCATTCGCTTGATGAAGGTCTCGCCTTTGCCACATCACGATGTTGCGATGTTAAGAATCCACCTGTGTTGAGTCTTTTTCTCTTCTAACACCGGCTATTTACCATTTAAAAGTTTGGTGAGTACTCTACAGCACGTGTATGATGCGTTCGATGATGATGGCAAACAATCTTGCATGGCTCTCAAACCATACGGTTTACCCTGTATTCACTTAGTTTTCATGTCCATACAGCCCACAACCGCTTAAATACCGGCAAAAATAATGTTTTTGTTTATTTGTTTGTGTTTTTCCCTTATGATGGGACTTTGTAAGATGAACGTTGAGATGTATACGGGGCACGGGGTGACCAATAAGGTCTGAATTGGTCTGTAAGGTAGGCTGACAGGTATGAGCTTGATATCTTTACGCATTGCTTTCCCGATGCTTCACATGTTTGCAATATTAAAGGAATTACGCAGCTATCGGAGGAATGACAAGCATGGAACGCGAATGTTGTTAGAGCGCTGTTTTTAGTTGAGGCCGGTTCCTGATTGCGCCACTGCTAAACTTACCGAAACATTCAATTTCTCTTTTTAACACACAAAACAAACCCCCCCACGGGCAAACTTAAAGAGATACTTTTCCACAACGTGTATGCAACAAAACCCCAAACAGTGAATACTTGTCATTATCTTTAAAGAAGACATTTTACTATTAAAAAACACACGACTTACCGCACGCAGTCTTGATGTGCCTTTTTTGGCTTTTTTAAAACTAAAATGTACTGTACACTTCCTCTTTCGTTTCGTGCAGGGGGCCCGGCAAGTACAACATTAACAATAAGCATCCAGTTTATTTGTTTAAAAACAACTTAAAAATATCAAGAGCCGCGAATGCATGTGATTGTATACGAGACGGTGAGATCCGTAATAAAATGAACGTCGCCAACCAGCGCTCAAAATAACCGCAGATTTGGCTTCCGCAAATGTTCATTCTGCCTTGGGGTAGTTTCTCAAAAGTTGACGTACACACTAAAAAAAAGAGTGATTTCATTTGAATGTGGACAGACATGACTTTGTCCTTAGGTCATTCATCACCACCACCATCATCGTCGTCGTCGTGCATGACGGTGGAAAATAATATTTGAACAATTTTGCTTAATTGCATTTGATTTTGGCACGGGCAAACCCCATTTGGCAATACATGCTCAGTTTTGAATGGAGGATACCTGGTTATAGAAACTTGTTCACAGAAAAGAAAACATGAACGCAACTATCTTAAAGCAACTGTATTTGTAATGAATAGGCTCAGATGTGTTGATTGGTGGCCGAGTGAATAACCCATCTGGCAAATTAGTAGAATTTGTCTCATGGATATGACTGTTGGTGGGAATATTGGAAGGCAAAACCAGTCGAGAATTGTCTTGCTGAAACAGATGGCCCTGGAAAAATATTGGTCGTTCCTTTATTTTAATGTGGAGTGGTCGTTTCTTTATTAATCTTGCATTGACTGAGCGAATGACGGGGCGGGCACGTTTCCTCGGCCGGTGCAGCTGCGTGTTCTCTTTGTCGATATTTGGATTGAAAGTTTTCGTAAAAAAGAAATGCTCCAGTCCAAAGTGCCATAACGAATCAGCGTTCTATGGGGTCGCATGTAATAGTGGGGTGCCGCAGTGGCGAGATGTTAACTTCCTCGCCTGGGTTCGGTCCCAAACCCTGACCCGGTATATTTGGATTTTGCACGTCTCTCCCCGTGGTGTCGTGTTTTTTTTTCTTCCTCCCTTTGGGTCCTCCGGTTTTTCCCTCCACATTTATAAACAGAAGTTGAGTCGTACTTATTTGGCTGCTATACATTTCCACGCTATAAGCCACTTCGTTGAGCTATCATTTGTGGCCAGGTGGCATCTGAAAAAGAGCTGCACACATCTCAGTGGGCTTTTATCTGGTAAATTAAGTATTTTAGTTTTAGTTCACGGCTGCTCTCGTCAAGTGGGTCCACTTTGAATGAAACTTTCGCGTAAAGGTCCATTGTAATTTGTGAGTGGGCCATACCTGGTAAAATTAAAATACATTTGTTGAGAGTGAATCGTGTTGAGGGCCACCCACTCTGGCCCGAGTCTGACACCTCTCGGCTTAAAGGGGCTCCGTGTCGCGTGCAAGTTTGGCACCACGTGAAACGCGATTTCGTGTTAGAGTGCAGTGGCCCTCGTCGCGCGCCGTCCGATACGGAGTCGATTTTATATTAACTATAAATGAAAGGAATCGACCTTATAAACGATAGATACAAATTAAATAAAAGCAAACTTAAACGTTTAACGTTCACAACAAACAGACCTACAATATACCGCTTGTATTCAAACACGACAGATTGTTTTATTTGTTATAACTTTTATTTGGGGTGGGGGGGAGAATCGAAAATAAATGATTTAGTATCGATGAACAGGAATCGATTCCACGACCCTCTCGTCTCGATACCACCAATGTTGTGATCGCCGACGGATCGAAAGTGCGTCCGCGACGTTACAGCGTGAGTACTGTGCTGAAACGCCGCTCGCATCGCCTCTAGTTCCATACCTGTGAACCCTTTATCAGTGCCCGACCCTATTACAGACCAACTCAGACCTCATTGGTCACCCCGTGCCCTGATGAGACGTTGCTCTGGATGGACAGACTCGGTCATAGGAACGTGGAATGTGCCACCCCCGAGTGTCTGCCCCGTGTAAGGGGCCGTCCATAAATGACGTCACGCGAGTTTGGACGATTTTTGACCCCCCCCCCCCTCAAATATGACGTCACAAAGCTCTGCCCCCCCCCCCCCAAATTAAATAAAGCATGCTTCAAATCGCTTTAAACTATTGACATTGTAGTGCGTATTTAATGTGGCGCTGCACTCGGATGTTGTAGGAGAAAACATTTATTAAAAAGTCTAATTAAGTAGAACGTGTCTATTTATTTAAAGTTGCGCATTTTGATGTGACGTCACATTTCTCAAACCCCCCCCCTCCCTCTCGTCACACATCGTCGCAAATGTCTGACCCCCCCCCCCCTAGGTGCGTGACGTCATTTATGGACGGCCCCTAATGCTGATCGCAATATATATTTGTAATATATAACTTTTATCAACCCACTGGTGGATTTCGCCTCCCCATGCCTTGCGGGTCGTGGGGCGCGGTTTCTTTGACCATACTTCACCACGCTGTCCCGTTATTAACTGTATTGGCTCGGTCATGTACAACAGGTAAAAAAAAAACAAATAAAAAAAACTAAGTTGCATACAACCTGTTGCACGTTACAATGCATTCGAAGAGTTGCAGAACCACTGCAGGAAACTGCACGCTTTAGCTTCCCCCTTCAGATCAAGTTCATTTATTAGGTATAGCCCTGTGAGCCATTCGGCTCTTGAATCATGAACACTTTTCAGATGATGAATAACCATGAACACTTTTGTTCACTCTTTAGCCCCCTTCTGGCAGTGGAGTTGAACTATCATGTCTGGCCACCAGTGTCCCCCACGCTTCCTGCTGTCATCTGGACCCTGCTCCGACCGGCGTGCACCAGACCCTGGATGAGATGGACTTTGAGCGCGGTAAGATTGAGCGGTGGTGCCGTGATCGGCGCACCGCGCTGTAAACCCTAGTCACCTTGGGTTCGATTCCTGGCCACAGCTCACATCAGTGGCGAGCGATATGTGAAACGTTCCCGGGTCTCCTCCCCCTCCCCCCCCTTATTTAACCCGCAATGACCAGCATGGCGAAGTATGATCAAACAACCCCAGTGAATGACGCGACATAGGGTGATCTTCAACTGTGGATTGGCGAAAGTCTATAAAGGTCCCATTCATCATATGCAAGCTTAAAACTCCATGAGTGTTTCTTTAATAGGCATGTCATGATGCATATGTAGTGGGTCCAACGGAGTCGCAGACGCTGTTCCTTTCAGAGGCCACACATTTATTTGTAACACCGTAACACAAAGGGGTAACTTGCCCCTTTACCAGATACAGCCTAGGGTGGTGACCACCCAGCTAACTACACTACACAGAGGAGTTACAGCTACGGAGGGTCGGACCCTCTCTCTCGGGTCCGCGACCACGTGTTTGCCTCGTAGGACGTAGAGCTTCCAGCTTGTAGACGTGGAGCTTCCAGCTTGTAGAATGCAGCGACCCTGGTCTCTCTCAGGGACCCGCCTTATATCCCCCCACGGGTCGGGGCCGCTCCGCCCTTGGCCCCGCTGCCTTCTGGAGCCTTCCAGCTCCCTCTCGATTCCTCTCGAGAGCTCTCGCCAGACACGTGATCACCCCCTAGCCCCCCCCACCTGGGGGCCTCTCTATGGACACTCCGGATCACGTGTCTGCGGGGTCAACCAGAGTGCCATGGCCTGGGGCAACCCTGCCCCTGTGCTGACACTCTCCCACTCCCCCCTGTGGGAGCCCGCACTACACGCTATGCGTGGTGGCCGCGCTATCCCAGCACTCACCAAGCGCCGCTAGGGCTGGTACTACACCTGCCACGGGGTGTATGTGATGACAGTGCATCGCATGCCGTGGTCCTCTCAGGCCGGCACTATACAGTGACATCCCCGATGTCATTACACATACTTTATTGATTCAATTATTGATTATGCCTGCGATACGTGTCAGATTATGGTTTTTCACTATCTATTATGTGTCATTTGTATGTACTGTATGTAATGGGTTCATGAGACCTCTGCTTACACGAGCAGCACTACATTTACAATGTCAAAAAAATGTGTATTCATCAATTGTGACTCTGAAGCATGAACATTAATTGATTCGTAAGGCACGTACATTTTTGCAAGTTGACCATCAAATCATACCTGATCACACACAGCTCTATTAGCATTGACTTCGTGAACTCAAATTCACGATCCACTCTCAAATTCTGTGTTGCTAGTGTTCCATTTTCGATTAGTTTCTTTATGCTAACTTCTCATCTCACTTTACTCCTCCTGACACACTCTTTACTCCAGTAAGCAAGGCTTTTACTTCGCTGAGTTGGGAAGGTGCTCTTTCGCCTGTTGTCCCCTTTCTCCTGCTATCCATGCTGTCATCTCCCTGCCCCTGTTGCAGTTTGAGGTAATTTGTGTCCTATACCTATGACTGTCTCTCATTCTATGAAACTAATCATTCCAAGGAAGCACATGACCGGCTGTTTTGCGCAGCATCTTGAGGTGTGTTGTTGTATTTAGACACCATATCCATCTAAATGATGTGTAACCCAAATGTCTGCAGAAGCTGTGTTTCTGTGGAAGCATGATAGAATAATTTGTCGAAACTGGCTGCATGCAGGAATCTGGTCAGCAGCCGGTGAAGGGGACCTCAATAGAGTGGTGTCTCAACTGAATAAGGGGACTGATCCAAACAAGACTGATGCTTCTGGCTACACTGCACTAGTAAGCATTTTTTATTTGCTTGTTACGAATACTGCCATATGTAAACGTATATTGTAATATATTTCTAGAGGCTCGTATGGATTAACACTTGAGTAAAATTACTAGAAATTAAATTTGAGTTTCTAAATATATAAATGGCTATTTGTGGTCAATTGTAATAGTAACAATATAATTCAGTCGTTTAATTTTTACAAATGCAACTGTAAAACAATAATATTTTTTATGTGTTTACATTTTATTAACAGTGGTACCTTCAATCCAAATATGAGATGATATATTGTAATGCTAATTAGCATTTTTAAAAAGTGAGTAGGCCAAATTGGCTGTTCAGTTCAGGAGAGCACAGTTGGAACTCTTGTACGATGATTTCTTGGTCTGCTTGTAAAACAATGTGAAGAAGAAAGGTTGCAAAGAGGATAGGTGTAACCCTGCAATTTCTTGCTCAGATCACCATACCTGTCAACCCCTTATCAGTGCCTTACTTATTACAGACCAATTCAGACCTTATTGGTCACCCCGTGCCCTTATAAATCTCAACGTTCATCCTACAAAGTCCCATCACAAGGGAGAAACACAGACAAAAAATGTGTTTTCCCGTATTGAAACGGCTGTACGGCGTATGGACCTGAAAACTAATTTTCCTTGTCCAAGAATACGGGTTAAACCATATGGGTTGACTGGTATTGATCACTGCTGGCAAATGGGCCTCTACTAGAGGGAGCTCTCGAGAGCCCCTCGTAACAGGTGCGTTTGACCTACTCGTCTATGCTGGCCAGATGTATGATCTGCTGGTAAACAACGTTAATACAAGAGTCGTCTATTGTGTGTGGCAGCACTACGCCAGCCGGAATGGGCATGAGGCAGTCTGCCGGGCGCTGCTGTCCCATGGGGCACTCGTGAACGCGCAGACGCCGGGGGGAGCCACTGCATTGAGCCGAGCGGCGTACTGTGGCCACGCTACCATTGTGTCCCTTTTGTTCAAGCACGGAGCTGACTGCAGACTTCGTGACAGCGATGGAATGACTGCGCTTCACAAAGTAAGCCTGTCGTTTCTGCTAAGTATTTGAACAGTTGCAACAGGTTTTTTTTATCTTCGCAATAATATTTAGAATTCGATTTTATTTCAAATGTATACTATTTTTTAGTGATGTTTATGATTGTTTTACTTAAATCTAAGAAGATAAAGCAATGGCCAAATAACATTTTAAATTGTGAATTCTCTGTTGGCCTTTTGAGATTGTTTGGTATGTCATTTTAATATTTATAATATACGTCACAAAGTTCTGCAAGTCACACAGTTATAGTTAAATCATCAGCAGAAGTATTTTTTTTTTATTCACTCACTCTGTAGAAACTTACTTAATTATGCCAGGTGTTGTGTAGCATTAAGGAGGTGCTTTCTGTGCAATTTCCATTTTATACTTTTTTTAAATAAAATGTATACTAGCAATATGAACATCTCAAACTAAAATCTGCTTTTGCAGGTGGCCGAGGGAGGGCATTTATCAGTCTGTAAATTGCTAGTCCAACAACAACCTGATTTGAAGGACATTGTTGACAACAAGTGTAGGAAGGCCTGCGATCTATTGAAAGAAGATTCTGAACTTAAGGCCCTTCTTTCTACAGGTTGAATTGATTTGGTATTGAAGATAGGCACATTTATATAAGTATATAATATAATAACATGGACCATTTTTCTGACATGGGATATTAATATATGAGAAATGCTTTAGAAATGCATATAAGTGACATGGTGATTTTCACTAAAACAATTTGGCAATTGTCATGTTTTATCATTGAAGAGACCTGCATTTATTTAGTAAAGGCAAGTGTTTGACCTTTATTCCAAAATTAGAGGACAGCACACCAATCTAGAATAGGTCAAGAAAGAAGGAACCAGGCCTGGGAGATGAATGGACTCTGCTGCATTCTAAGAATCTCCTGGACAGCCCACCAGACAAATAAGCCAATTCCTCGATTAAACAGGCAACCAAAGTGTATTTCGTGAGTAGATTAAGGAGACGGTGTTTCTGGGACACGTCCTGTGGAAATCCTGGAGACTGCCCGGAGAAGATGATTGTTCAAGGCTCAGTCCCCAAGAAAGTGAGGCCGACCAGAAGAACGTGGATTGATGATGCAATTGCTTTGGACAGGGCTCAGTATGGGAAAACTCGCAAGAACTGCTGAACACAGAGCCCTGTGACGTAATAGAGTCCATCTCACGGCCAAGCCTTGGGTCAAGGAAGACCAGAAAATGGAACTCTGGTCCCACAGACGTGTGATGTAGAATAAAAAAAAGTATAACAATTTATAGAATCAATTTTTTAATCAATGTAAAACGAGCACTTTCATAGGCTTTAAAACACACAATTTTTTGTTTACATTTGGTTAAAAAGCTTATTTAAACTATATAACAAGTAGCATTTCAAAGTATAAAATTGTATTTCATGTCATTAAATCATCTGTTACTTGATTCCCTGACGAAGTGAACTTGACCGTAAGAGATTTGTTTCAAATAAACAATAGAGTTTAAACATGCCACCTCTAATCTCAAAGGCATGTTTCAATGTTTACGTAACTGATATGTGCAGGGCTACTCGGAATGTTGCGATTTGTTCCCAAGGAGCAAATTGCTAATATGTACTATATGTGTATGGAACAGAAAATCGTATAGACACTCATAAAAACATTCAAACGGCTATGGTATAAACATTTTAATCACTAGACCAATAAACAAAGTGCTACCTGACGAATACATGTAATTTGAAAAACTATGAATAACTGTATACCTAATAAAACGCGATTTTACAAATATCAAAATAATTATTTAATCCTGCAGATTTTAGAGGAATTAAATCTTGCAGTATAATTGCACTGATTTTATATCATAATTGCACAAGCGATATGCTATATAACTTGCTTGTATTATTAGTATTATTAGTTTATGTCACTTGATGGCTATTATCAAATTTGTAAAGCTCCATATTAAATCCATAGATCTGGTGAACTAACAAACAACTGTGTTTATAGCAGCCGGTTACCCTTGTATGGCTTTTAAATCGACCAATACATCAAGGGAAGTTCCTGTTATACACTCTCCTCTTATCTCTTCTGCCCTTTATATGTTCCCTGAATTGATCCATAGATCATATTGTTATCTGTGCGAATGTCTGCACATGGCAACGAAAAGTCTATACATGATAGCCCTGGTGTGAGGAGGCCATCATCGAGTAGTGGATTAACAAAGATCTATAAATAACTATTGTATTACTTTAAATACGAAATATATATATATTTAGAGGATATCAAAACATAATTAGGAAGCACAGTGTATGTTTTGTTGCAAACATAATTAGGATTTTTGATGAAATCAATTATAATTGAATTTAGGATCACTGCAAGTTGAGGTTTTTTTTACGTACTTTAAAATAATATGTATGGAAATGCAAACACACTAAGAAAGTTGTTTCATTTGCAAAAATGAAGTGCAGTATACATATTATACCTACTGGTTAGGTAAGTTGCTAATGTGTTTTTCTGCTGGTTCAGTTATTCATAGTTTAAATCGAATAAAATATACATTCAATCTTGATTTGTAATGTCCACATGTTTTTGGGATTAATGTTTAAAAAAAAAGTATAATTCCATTATGAGAATCAACGTGTGGCCCTGTTATCTAGCTGAGCTCACAATGATTTGATTCGCATTACCAACGCAACTCTTTTTTTGGTAACTTTCAATGAGCTCCTTCCACAAATCGCTGCGCATCAACAGATGCTTGATTTCCTGAAAAAGAAAAGCAAGCATCGGATGGAACCGTTATCCAGTGCTGCTATGTTTATTTTTAGATTAGATAAAGTTACAGCCCTGCAATACCTTGTTCATGCCAGTGCTAGCAAAAGCCCTCCACGAGGGGGATCTTTATAAACCCCTCTGGAGGGTATTTGGCCTACTCATTTACCCTGGCGAGTTGTCCTGGAAAAGGTGGCGAGTATCAACAATTTACCTCATCACATGCGATCTGCCTATTGACTAACTCCGGCTTACCCATTTAACGTCAACTCGTAACGCGCACAGTATTCACTCACTCTCTTAAGAGAACGACTCGGGAGGCGTGAGGAACCACAGACAAGTGGGAAGGCAGCCACGCGGTGAGTCGCCTACAATTGCCAAAGCTCTTTGGGTTCTCTATATATTAAGGTGTTATCAGCCAATTATTGAGTGCGAGAGGAAAGAGGAGCACCCTGAGAAAGCCCACACAGATGAAGGGGAAACAAGATCCCATGGTGAACTGCCTTCTGGGAAGCCAGGGAATAGTACCTAGATGCCCACGGGAAGGGAGTTTCGCAACATTTGCCTCGACAGTGCTGGATTATAGGAGTGCTTCACCGCTGTGGCATTTCTACTGCTCGGTAGATAAGATGGGGCAGGGGGGGGGGGTGAACCTGACTGGCCACCCAACTAGTAACCTCTGGATTGCAACGGCAGCATTTTACTCTTAGGTAAATGCTACTGAATTATGCATGTCTTTGGTCATGTGCAGTTTCACCTGTATTCCTCATAGAATAGATGCACAAAGTGGATTGTACATATCCACTTTTTATCCATAACCTCAGGACGAGGGCGTCGCTACACCATATGGGTCATGGGGGTGACTTTACCTTAATGGGAGTATGGGTTGGTAAATGCAAGGGACAAGTGGGAATGTAGTAATTGATTTTGCTGCCCTCTGCTGCCCATCTCTGAGCTCCGCAGCAGCCTATGACAACCTCTTTGTGGATGGTGGTCACCCATCCAAGCACTCTCGAGGCTCAACCCGCTTAACTTCCGAGACCTCACGAGATCGGGTGCTTGGCACATGATTTGGTCATAGGCCAAGGATGTTACACTTATTAATAAGCTCAAGACCTTAATTTTACTTTAACAGTGCTTTGCTATCGAGACTGGTCCATGCTGTACAAATGTGGAATTTCTGCCACTGAATTAGGACTGCCAATGGAAATGAATCCCATTAAATTTTGGAAAATATATACTTGGACTTTCACTTATTAACTTAAGAAGATCCCCCATGATTATGTTATAGTGCACTTTAAGCAGAATGCTTACAATCTTGTGTATGTAAGGAAACATTTTACCTATAATGCAGAGCCCTTCCTTTGCTCGGGTTAATGCCACGTTGACTTGATTTTCGTCGGTGATGAATCCCAGCCTCCTCATTTGCCAGCCCCTTGATGGATTGGCTTGTAATTCGTCGAGAGAACAAGAACGAACCGTTGATAGTAGAACGTAGCGCCATTCACTTCCTGCGATATGGACAACAATAGTGGATGTACAAAGATCATTTTCTAGCATTTGGCATAAACACAAATCTCTGCAAGTAAAGCATTCAGCTATAGTACACAAACTAGACGACACCATACATTTTGCTTATATTTCTCACGCAGACCGAATAAACTCGTGTTTATTCAACACTGCATGACCGACTCTGTATAACCCAGAACTAACTGTGAATACACTGGCAGAAACCTCTCTAGGACCGTTGGAGCTGCTCCATCTGCCATCTCCAAATTTGCTCCATACTTGCTGCCTTCCCGGCTATAATTGACAGTATTGTGGAGTCACTTCTCTCATACCTGCCCCCTCCCTCTTCTTCCAGTGGGCAAGTGCGCCCTCTGGGTTATTCGAACAGGATATGCCATGGACATTTCCACGTGTTCTTCCCTGGAACACCTGGTCACCTCAATGTGGCTGGCAGGGAGGGGCTGTCAAGAGGTATACACTACGGTTTCTGAGCACAAGCACATAGGCCCAAAACATCAAGCAGCCAGCGATAAACAGTGCTCTTGAAATTGTAACAGCTAAAGAGTGAATACTTTTTTGAATTGAGCAAGGTTATACGAATTTTGGAAAAGAGATGATGGTAGGGAATTCCAAAGTTGAGCAGTGTGTGAAAGTGCAGAAAGAAGTGTTTGACCTGCAGTGAGACTTGAATATTGTGATGGTTTTCTATTATGGTATTTTGGAGTATACCTATGTTTAGATAGGACCTCTGTAACCCCCAATATTATTTGTTGAAAATTGGGTGACCATTCAGTCTGGGATATACGTGTTGTTTGGCACAATGTCTCAGGTTTTTCTTCATTTGCTAAGAGCTTTTCAAGGAATAATTCAGTTCTTGGTACAATATTATGCCTTTAATGTAAGAGGTGATCCTCTTTTGTGAAGGCACATGGATTCCTGGTATGAAATTAAGGATTTACCAACACTAGATGTGTTTTCGGCTCATTCAATGAGGGTGATGGCCACATCTTCGGCTCTTTTTGTGGTCGTTTACTTGCTAGATATTTGCAGGGCAGTGAACGAAGTTTCACCGTACATGGAAACTTCAGAAGAGGCTTAATTTGGAGAGTGCTGATTTGATTATACCTCTGTAGTTTTCTGCCTTTTTTAAATAAAGAATGTCAGTTGTGGTATAAGTAAAAGTTTAGTCAATATATTTATGTCATGTGTGATAGATACCAAGACAAATCTATGGTGGCATCAGTGTTGGTATAAGAATTTTAAGTGTGGTGAATGCCAAACTAATGTTTAATATATTGCAGGTATCGATACATATATGCACTGTGCTAATGTAGTGCGTGTAACACAGGAAAACATCCATAATGCATCCATAATACATGAAAACAATTATACATTACAAAACAGAGGACATTGTGCTTACCCTGGCTCTTCGTAATGGTGGTTGCAGTAACTTTCTTGATGTGTTTTTTTTCCAGAGCTTTTTGAATTTCATTCGCTTGTGCATTGTATGGCGTCAAGATTGCAATGTCCTTCTCTGCAATGGAGCCTTTTTTGACCAATTCACTTACGAGACGCACCTGTAGAGAATACAAAGGGGATCTTTCAAAAGCCATTTTCTGAAGATAATTAGCACATTATGCCGTAGAAGGCTATTCCAGGATTATAGTTTAACATTTCCAAGTCAATCACCCTCACCAATTTGGAAATAATGAGTACTGCTAATGTAACATATACTGTTAAACACTAAAAATACAATAATCTACGAATTTACACTGTAGTGTTATATGCAAAGGTGCATCCTTACGAGCGCTTGCTGATGCTACTGCTGGCAGAGGGGGGTGGGCTCTGTGAATGGGACCTCGAGAGAGGCCATTGAAGAGCTATTTGGCCAACCCTTTCATGTTGTC